TTTAGAAGAGAAATAAGGCACATAATCCCTAATTTAATCACCATGTGACCCTCTCGAAGGTGCATTTAACTTTTTTGGTATAAAATTGATCCCTTATACAAATGTTTTTCGATAAAAAAAAACCATTAGGATACAAGTATGTTAAAGGGGCCCTATAAAATAACCACTACAAAACATTTAGAAAATGATGAGGAAAATTAAAAGTTTGCGTGTTCTACTACCCATGGGAGCAAAATGTGCACTCGTTAGTTACCCAAAAAAAAAAAAGGGCATTGTTCCCTTTTTTTAAAAAAGCCAGGCAAAGGATGGTTTTTTTGTTCTAATATTTTGGGATCCACTTTAAAATCACATAGAAGAGTTTATATGTTCTCTTCTATTGGGATCCATTGTAAAATTACCATATAGGTAGTATTAATTAAAAAGAGAAAAATACAGATTTTTTAAGTGTTGATATTTATCTTGAATTCTTGAATCCTTAATTGATGGAGATTGGTTTCTTGTTGATGAAGTTATGAAAGTTGAGATTGATTTGATGTACTTGTTTTTTGGGGCATTATTCTCTCTATAATTTGTTTCTAAAGAGAGAAAGCATGCATGGAAAAATAAGCCATACATAGGTGCATTTTTGGGTTTGCCCTCTCTTGTATAGAGAAAAAGCAAACGAAAGTGCATAGAGAAAAATAAAGAGAAACTTTGGGGGTTTTTGCACAGAGAGAGAGAAAATTGTAGAAGGAGGGCGGGGAACTTTGGGGGTTTTTGCAAAGAGAGAAAATTGTAGAGAAGAGGGCGGGAAACTTTGGGGGTTTTCGCAAAGAGAGAAAATTGTAGATTTGTAAGAAATTGAGTTTATGTTCTCTCAAGTAAGTTGCCTTGTAATTTTTTTTTTTAATTTAGTGAAAAACATTGATCGTCTTCACTAGTGAATGTAGCTACAATTGTAATGAGCCACGTAAATCCTGGTGTTATTTTTCTGTTATTTATTTTCTGCTTTATTTTTGTTGTTTGTTTTTTGTCAAATCCTTTTCTCGTACTTTATTTGTAAAAAATCAACTTATTGAGTTTAGAGCTTCCATGCACAATACTAAGCACCTAGTCAGCACTTAGTCTTGACTATCCAAAACTTAAAAGATATATATTGAATGAGTAATGATACTATGAGACCCTCCCACACCCATGTGAGTAGGACCCTAAGGGATCACCATTAAATTTTGAATTTTGACACAGATATCTATAAAAGTTATCAATAAACACATTCACCCAAGCCCCACACCCATGTGATAACTTTTCTAGAGATCTGTATCAAAATTTAATGTGATCCTTTGAGGTCCTACTCATATGCGTATGGGAGGGTCTCATAATATCATTACTCATATTGAATATGGTGCGCTTTGTATAAAGCCGAGTCTCTAAACAATCAAAGTAAAGTGCACCTTCAAATATTGTAGAGAAACGTGGTTTTAATATTGTAAATCTTTGTGATAACTTTAAAATATACTTTCTAATTATAAAATTTAAAACTTAAAAAATAGTGTAGATCGAGCAAATATATAAAAACTTGAAAATCTTAAAAATTGACAGTCTAAAAATGCATTACAATATGTACTATTTTCATAACTTGAAATCTATTTTTTTCTCATATCCATACATCTTGAGGTCGAAATGATTAATTTGAGGATATTTAGACATCAAAACAACCTCTTCAAGCGAACTTTTTGAGGTGCAACCTAATTTGATTGTTTAGAGCCTTGCACTTATATAAATTTTTTCCTATTGAATATAAGGAAAATATACAAATAGACTGTTTCTTTTTAATACATGGAGGTCACAATAACTTTTGTCCATCAGATTTTAGATCGGATGGTTGGGAGTGTATCATTGACTAAACTCTAAATTTGAGCATAACAAGGTGGGGAATTCAAATTGTTTTTTTGGTTAGCTTGGTCTCTAGGTTGAGTAGGTTTCAACCCAAATTTGGGGTCTTCTTAATACATCTGGCTGCGATATTGCTCGAGGGAACAAATATATAATTTATTCTTGTGCGACCATAAGTCTTTTCTAGTTAATTCATTAATTTAGAGCGAATATATATATTAATTTAATAATTATTTATTTTGTTTATTTTGAATGTTAACCTCGGTTCTATCATTAACCACAGAAATTATTGGTGATCGAGCTACCGGAATAATTGTTACACTTGCACTATATTCTAGAAAAAGTAGAATAGCGAATAAGAACACAATTAATAGATTATGAAGGAAATAATAATAATAATAATAATAATAATAATAATAATAATAATAATAATAATAATAATAATAATAATAATAATAATAATGATAATAATAATAATAATAGCAACAGTAATAATATATATACTTTTAATTATATCAGTAGCAAAATCAAGCCTCCCACCTATTTTGGAAAGAGTCCTGTTTTAGAGTATTATAGCATGTTTGGTTCGCGTGAAAATATTTTCTAGAAAATACTTTTACGTGAAAAAATTCTCTTATGTAGTTAAATGTGAAAATGTTTTTACATCAAGTAGTTGCCAATTGATGTGAAAAGATGCACTAAGACCATTTGGTATGAAAATATTTTCATACTTAACCACATGAAATAATTTTTTCATGTGAAAATATTTTCTAAAAACATTGTCACACGAACCAAACATGCCTTTAAGTAAAAATGGAGGTTATAAATTGGGACTCGGGTTATACTGCCACCACAACCCCATTCTCACCCTCTTCTTTTTGAGGTGGGACAATAGTGTGAAAAACTTAAGCCGGACCCATTTCAGGGTCCAAAGTCCATGTCATAACAGAGCCGAGCTCATTTAGAACCTCATGAAGCTGGCATATCAATTATTCTTCTCATTGTTATATACAATTGTTAATCCTATTTTTATTAAGAAGTATACAACAAGACTGCTAGTTATGGGTGAGGTTTGTACAAGGTGCCCTCCTTATATTCGAGAAGTAAGGTGTAGATCTAAAATTTGTTTGGAGATGTAGTTTCGGTGTCGGGAATTTTATGATGGCTTACAAAGTTATTTTAATCCTTAGTTATCAATTTAAATGTTTAAAATTAGTAAGGATCAAATATATCTATAAACGCTTACAAATCTTGAAGATAGACAGTCTAGAAAACTTGTTACAAGATGCATTATTTCTAAGATTTTAATTTTTATTTTATTTTTATCTTTGTTTTTGTATCTACACATCTCGAGGTCGATATGATTGATTGGAGGGTCTCTAACATCAAAACACTCATCTCTACATGATTTTTGAAGTGCACTTTACTTTGATTACAATCTAACTTGAACTTTTTACCTTATTTATAGAAAAAAAAAAAAAAGGCCAATAATAATTCTTACCATTTGAATTCATATGACAAGGTTGAATCATTGACTTTATAGCAAAATTCTAAAAAAATTCTCAAAGTTTGTAACATATCTTACATCTAAGATTAACTATGAATATCATATACCATAAATAAATAGTCCCCTATGACATAGCACTATAATAAATCATAAATAGACCCACTAACCGATTGGTGCACCCATATTAAACATGTCATCCCACAGGAACATGATAAGCTTGTGACATGACCCCGCATTCCCTTCAAATGTTATAATGGAAGGAGTACTTTTAAAAAATAAATAAAGAGTGTAGCTAGAAATGGAAGACATAGAAGTACCATCATCCGTCATTAGGTCTTCAAGAATGCCCCTAAATTCTTGCAAATTTAAGGAATTGCCCCCAATATTTTCAAATAGATTAAAAGATAGAAGTTGCAAAACACTGTGCTGGTTTTCCTAATGGACAGATTTAACACCCATGCATTTGTAGGTTATGCTTATATTTTAAATGAGTTTAATTACAAGAAACTAGTATGGTAAATTAACATTATAAAGTATCTAGGAATTTATGAAGCAAGTAAATAAAATAAAATTAAAATCGATGCATGGAATATATTTTTAAACAAATATATGTTTGGCTGACTTCTTATAGCCTCACTGGGAGTAATGATGCTTGATAGAGCAGAATGACGGATTAAGATTCGTATATCTAATTCTAAATAGCTGAAAAAAAAGCTATTGATAATTATATTTCGCAGACTTAAACCTATAAAAAAACACATTTAAGCTGGTTAAAAGAAATTTTAAGGACCAGTCACAATGCTAAATTAAACAAGAAACATAAGATACTAGATTGAAAAATTAGGATTAAAAAATAATTACATCAAAAAATAAAATCAATAGGCGTGGCAATGAACCTGGACCCGACCCAGGTTCGGGTATGGGCCCAAAACTTAGAACCGAACAGTATTTGGGTCCGAGTCCCAGTACACGTGGACCCGACCCGAATAGTGATATTATTTATATAATACTAAATATAAAATATTTAATTAATATTTAAATTGATATAACTATATATTTTAGTTATCATATTTAAATACTATATATATATCTATATATATATTCAATATAACATTTAAATATATTTAAATTAATATTTTTTTATTTTTGAGTCAAGTCCAATCGCATTTGGGTCCGGGTCCGGGTCCAAGTCCAGGTCCCATAACTTTTTACGGACCCGGACTCAGACCCGAGCCGACCCGTTGCCACCCCTAAAAATCAATATAGGGGAAGAAAAGCATTAGAAATTAGGTTAAATAGTCGAGGATATTCAGCAATTAATTGACCATTACAGTAATCCAGCCAATATAATAGCATTGGACTGATAAAACAATGACAGGGACATCTTAGAAAATTCCTGATAAAACCAAGGTCAAACACTGTATCAGTACTGCAGTGGTGGGCCATGGCAGTACGTGGGCTTTGGTGTAGTGGGAGAAGCCTGATTGTGATTCGTCAGAATTGGACGGTCCAGATTGAATGGGGCAGATTTGTTCCCATTATTAACCCCTGAATAACTTGTTAATTTCCATCTTACCCTTGATCATTAAAACCAAGGATTTCCAAGCTTCCACTTCCACTCTTCTTCTTCTTCTTCATCATAATCTCTTCTAGTTTTGTTGTTGGGTTCAAGCAGATGGCAATCAACGGCTTCAATTCATCAAGATTCATGTCCCATGACACGTGTCAATCGATTAGGCCAGTGACCATGCTCCATGGCAGGACCCAACAAATACCCAGAAGCAAATGCGCCCCAATTATCAAATCCACGAGAAATTCTAAGGTTTTTATTCCTTCCTTTGCCCCCCAATTCATTCATTGTAATGCAATTTATGTTTTATGTTCTTACTTATTTCAAAAATTTTACTGAAATTTCTGCTTAAATTCAGTGAATTTCGATCTTTAGGTTGTTATTCTTGGACCAGCTGTTGACCACGTTATTGTGCTGTTGCTGCTGAGTTTCAGACGAAATTCACCGAAATTTCGTCACTCTAAATCTGTTCCTTTTCGATAGTTTTAATTGATTATATAGTTTTTGTTTTTATTTTTTTTCCTTTGGGTGAAATAACAGGTATTTGAAGACCGTGAAAGAGGAATAATTTGTTATAGAGATGATAGTGGGGAGGTGATTTGTGAAGGATATGATGAGGGTCCCCATTTTCACCCAAGAGTAACCGAAAAGAGTGCCAATCAAAGGTAGAAATATAATTAAAATAAGGATTAATATTCTTCTTTTTAGAAAAAAGAAATATATTTTTTCTCATCTTTTTTTTCTCATTACCCAAAAGATTGCCGATCAAAGTTGGAAATAGAATTAAACGAGGATTAATATTTTTCTTTTTATTTATTTTTAGAGAAAAGGAAAATAAATTTGTTTTTTTTTCTCAACTTATTTTTCCCATAAGCCAAAAGATTGCCAATCAAAGGTAGAAATAAAAGCAGAGAGTTTTTTCTCATCTTATTTTCCGGAATATTTTTCTCTACTATTATTGCAAACTTTGTTACCAAAAGTAAAAATAAAAGAAAAGTTGTTTGTTTGTTTTTCTTTTCTTTTTTTCTCTTTTTCTCTTTTTTATTTATTTATTTTTGTTTTCTTTTTTCGCAGCATTGAAGCTAGGATCCTTTGCATTCTTCTTCAAAGCCGGCTTCGGTTGATCGATTGAGTGGTTCAATTTTCAAGCCTTGAAAAGGTGGGAGGGTCAGTATTTGAAGACTCATGAATATTAAGTGTAAAAAGATGAAAATTTATGTAAATTTCTAAAGCGTTGCTTTTTAGGTAAGTTTACAAATTTGACAAGTATATGAGATGGATATGAGTTTTCATTTTTCAGTTCTACTGAATAAATTGTGTAAAATGGAAAAGTATGTTAAATCTCTTCACTTTAGATGTATTAACAACTTTGTTTGATTTTATCAAATAACATTGCAATTTATCAAGAAATATGGGGTTCGAAATGCAACGAGTAATTCATCGATCAATTTGATCAATTTCATCAATTTTAATGAACATTTCAGGACAAAAATTCACTTAAAATTATTTGCATTGGGTATTGGAATGCGGTATTCTAAATAAGGAAATGTTAAGGGCGATGCCCTAACCAATCAAATTAAGACGCACCTCAAAAATTCATTAAAAAAGGCTGTTTTGATACCAAAAAAACCCTAAAATTCGACCATATTGACCTCAAGATGTATGGACATGTGTAAAAATACATTTCAAGTCTTGAAAATAATGCATCTTATAGTGTATTGTCGAAACCGTCAATTTTCAATATTTTCAAGTATTCATAGATCTTCTTGATCTATACTATTCTTTGAACTTTAGATTTTATAACAATAGATGATAATAAATTTTCAGGCCATCATAAAGATTTATGATACTGAAATAATACATTTTGGCACTATTTGAAGGTGCACCCTGCTTTGATTGTTTAGGGCCTAACCTTATACAAACCACACCCTCTAAATAATATTGCTCATAATATTATAAAATGCCTAAAAAATAATTGTTTTTGGTAATGAATGATCGGTGTAAGCCTGCATGGATTCTTATATATGTGCATGAAACTACTCTTTTATTTTCTCAAATAATGTAAATTTATTTTTAGATTTAAAGAAGGAAAATTCATCAAAGTGCATTCAAGAGATAAAATATTTAACATCTTAGACAATTTTATTTTTTTAATTTAAAAAGCCCATCAAAATACATTCAAAATACATGAGTTGGAACAGTTGAGAAATGGTAAAGGAGAATGTTAGATAGTTGACAAATTAGGTGTATTTCCAATAGAGTTCTCTAACGAACAATTCATTGTAAAGTGGAACTGTTTGTTGAATTAACAGTTTCTAAAGAATAGTTTACTACTAAATGGAACTAATTAATGCTCCAAATTTTTGTGTTGAGGTGGTTGGTAAATTGGCTCTGAGCGAGGCACTTGCTTTACCCTTCTTTGAAATGGAAAATAGTTTGATATTGGAGCCCTATCAAAATAAGTAAAGTCTCACTTCATAACTCATCGAAAATTGTAACTCAAGCATTGGAAAACCTTTACATCAATCATTTCGGCTTGAACATTATGATTGTGATGAAAAACCAGGATTCGAAGCTCTATAAATAGTATATATTGTAATAAATTACCTAGACCGTCTATTTTTCCCTAAAAATAAATGTTTATAGATGCGCCATACATGTACATTTTTTGAGTTTCAAATTTTATGGATTGTGATGGAAATTGATTTTAGAGCCATCAAGGTGATTTTCATTGACAGAAAGTGCTTTCCGAACAAGAATATAAGGTGAAGCTTTAACATGGTTTATGGAATGCTCCCATGGAGCATAATATACAACTGCGCCCTAGTGTAAACGACCTACTTGTAAGAATTTCCTAGATAAAAAATTTCATAATCTACTTTAAAATCATCGGATGAGTATTATTACGAAAGAAAAATTGGATTGTGAGTTTCTAAACACTTCGATCCGACCATTTGAACGTTGGATGACCTGTATTCATTTTTAGGATGCTCTTCTTTTTAGGCACATACACTGACATATGGTTTTTATTTTATTTATATGTTTATTTATTATTTTAGGTTAATTGCAAGTTTGAGAGGAAGTACTCCTACTTAGGGTTTTAGCTAAAGGAATAGAAGTAGCGTAGGGTTCCTGATAATCCCTAGCTTGCGTATCCAGGAATCCCTAGCTTGCGGAACAAAGAATTCTAAATACTGGGATCGTACCCAAGATCGTGTACATAATTGACTAAATGCGAAGTGGATGAATACAACTATAAATAGAGTACAAGAAATAAAGCAAACGTAAAAGGACACCCCTACAATACATGATTTACGTGGTTCACACTATATGGCTACTACATCGACGGCCTCAGCAACTAGAAATCCATTATCACAATGAAGATTGCAGTTTATGGTTACAAGAGATAATACCCCTCTCTAAACATCGATAAAAATATCATCACAGATCTTCCTTTCTAAACCCGCTCTGCTGATCGAGCAACACCATCGATTTTTTTCCCTCCATAATATAGCTATCGAAAAGATAACTTTGAGAGTAACAGAGAGATTTTCTCTCTCCAAGAGTGAAGCTTTAACCAACTTAAAACTCATGGGAATACCGCTTCTTTTTCGGAGGCCATATCTCTCTCTATCTTGGAGACCTATCTCTATATTGGAGATTCTTTCCGATAACCCCCAAAGGGATGACCCTCAAAAGGATAGGATATTATGTCTTCATTGAGTCTCTTACATAGATATTATTTTATTGCTTCCCAATAACGTCCATTTTCATTTTATTATAATATCTTTAATCTTTAAAAGAAAATATGAATACACTGATTTGGCTATCACCAAACCCAACAAGTAGGATTAATTTTTTTTTGGTTCTTGTACTATTCATCCTAGGAGTAATCTTCTAGCCTAAGAAAAGCCATTTATTATCTATATTCTTTTTTCTTAATAAAAAGAATAAAAAAATTATTTTTCTTGAATTGAGCCAGTTCTTGTACCAATTATGGGGCGCCCTAAATTTGGCACTCACATGCTCTTGGAACTAGTTAAGAAGCCATGAAAGTTAAAAAAATTTGTGGGAAAATGTACTTTTGAACTTGGTGAGCATGTTGTTTGATTCTTGGGCCACTAGATTTAGCCATTTAAGAACCCAAAATCATTTTTATTTTTTACTCATCAAGGGAAAAGTAGAGCGAATCTATAAGGTTTAGGGTTCCATCTCGATCTAACACCTTTTTAAATTTTATATAAAGGTTTTGTTAGGCTATACCACTTGGTGGTATAGATATTTAAAGTGCTTAATATTTTTGGATACAAAAATACCTTTGAATTGTAATACAAAATTTTTCAAATGCAGCAATTTTTTGTCATTTAGAAATGTATAAGTAATATTTTTATAAGAAAATAGCGTCATTCTATTAGTAGTTAAAAACAATTAATGCATCTTGTGGGTGATGTCACACACCATATCGGTGATGTCATTGTCCACTATTGATCATAAATGATTTTGTTTGTATTAGGAATTTCTAGTTTATCTTTGATTAATTACTTAAAATACCCCTAAACAAAAAGTTACTATATTAATGGTATCTCAATGTCTAAAAATGTTGAGCAATTTAAAGGTCTACACCACAAGTGGTGTAGCCTAACAAAACATTTTATAAAATAGATACGATATTTATTTCTTTTTTCTCTCCTCGAAATAAATTGATTTTTGAAGTTAATTGTTTTTAGTTTTTAAGATCTTCTTTGCGGGTTCTAAGAAGGGTGAGGTTTGTATAGAGCCGAGGCTCTAAACAATCAAAGTAAAGCCCATCTTCAAATAGTATCGAGAAATGTGGTAGCCTTTAAATATATTTTCATATTTAATTATAAAATTTAAAACTTCAAATATAGTGTAGGCCGAACAAATCTATGAAAACTTGAAAATTAACGGTCCAAAAATATGTTACAAGATGCATTATTTCCAAAACTTGAAATCTATTTTTTTTTCTGATGTCCATGCATCTTGATGTCTAGATGATCAATTTGATGATATTTGGGCACCAAAACAACCTCTTCTAGTAAAATTTTTTATATGGGCTTTAATTTGATTGTTTGGAGCCTCGGCTCTGAATAAACTTTTTTCTTCTAAGAATGTGTGCCAAATTTAGGGCAAAACAAATATGCCCACGGAATGGGGAAGAGCAAGAATGGTCCTGATCCCTCGGGTGGACAACTGTTTTGCAAATACAAATTATATGAAAACAAGTAATTATTAAAAAGAAAAAAGTGTTAAAATATGGTTCATGGAACTCTAAAAAGTGACATGTGATTCCACCGTTGAACTGAGCACTAAGAATGATCGGTTCTTTTGCAAGTAGACAATCAATAATTTGGACAAACAATGGACAGTGGAGATGACATGAAGGGCATATTGGTCGACACGACTCCTTTTATAGGTTCTCTCCCTTCATGGCATGTTTGACAATTAGAATTTTCAGGGCTGTAAAAGTTCTAAGTAATCATAGCAATTCGGGGTATCGGTTCTTTTGCGAGTAGAGTCAATAATTTGCCAAAAAATGGACAGTGGAGATGACATGTAGGGTATATTCGCCGACGCATGTATCGTCACGATTCGTTCATTTATAGGTTCTCTCCCTTCAAGCCATGTTTGATGATTGGAATTTTCAGTGTCTGGCTATAAAAGTTCTAACCATAGCAATTCGTAGTATCGGTTCTTTTGCGTTTAGACAATCAATAATTTGGACAAAAAATGGACAGTGGATATGACATGTAGAGTAATGTTGCTTGACAAGTGTGTTATCATGATTCCTTCGTTTATAGGTTCTCTCCCTTCAGGGCATGTTTGACAATTGGAATTTTCAGTGTTTGATTATAAAACTTCTTAAGTAACCTTTGCAATTCGTAGTTTGTCGATTAGGAACTGCAAGAAGAACAAGAGGGGCCAGCTGGAAGCTCAAACTCCTCAAAATGAGATTGGCCAGCTTCCATCCCCTAAATGGAGAGGGAAAGTTTGGGAGCTCACCCTTTGGGATTGGCAGATCATTTTTTCAGTGTGGATGTTATGATATTTTTTTCTTATGTAAGTGACAAAAATGTGAAGATCTTAGGTTTTTCTTAAGAGCCTCAATATCTATTGATTAATATGAATATACAATGTTGTCTTATATAGACAAATACAGATGATTAGAATATAAACAAATCTAATACTATACCTAGACTTACCATAAATACAAGACATTATATCTACTTTTTTCAAATATACAGATTACCATATACACATTCTATACTAACTTGATAGACAATATATACTTTCTTTTCACAAAAAAATCTTCCCCATGGTTTAATAGAAA